TACTAACATCCATACCTACATCAATTTCCACACATCAGAGCATACACTAACAAACAGACATATAAGAAACACCCACACTAATACAGAGAGAAAAGCATACATTAACATACCTGTATAACATGCTTAATACATAGAAGAAAAACACACAAATACACTGGAATTATTTTTTAAAAGACTGTAATGCATATTATCACACATAGAATAACACACACTAACTGCCACCTGTACATTCACACAGCCAGAAACACATACATGGTGCATCAGATACAAGCACAAATGCGCACACATGTACAAGTACAAGAATGGAGAAATCTGTGGGACAGATGGTGTCTGTGCAGAAAGAGGAACTATCAATATAAGATATCCTCTCAACGTCCCTTTGCATCTTCTATCAAGAGGGAGCTTGTGATCCCTGGGTCCCATATACCCTTCTTCCCTTCAGAGACATTTGTGTCTGAGCTCCCACTGACGTTCCTTCCCTGTTTCTCACACACTATTTCCACAACAGTAATAATGCTCATCTACTCTGCACTCAGGACTGATTGATAGATGTTCTATGACTTTCCTCATACTGATCTCTGTGCTTGAGCTGACAGATGAGCACACGTTCAGTCCAGTGAAAGGAGGGGAGAGGAATGGTGAGCTCCTCAGATGCATTTTGAGATGAAGAATTAAAGAAGCCCTGTTTCTCCTCCTATTGCCCCTAGCCTGCTTTAGGTGCTGAGATTGAGCTTGGTGAAAGCAATGGATGTCATTTTGAGAACTAAGGTCTTCCTGAGCCAAGTCATGGTAGTTTCGACTACATCCTATGCTTTTGAATGTTGCACAGTGAATAAGGAAGACCAAAGAAGAATCAAGCCATTTGAATTATGGTGCTTATGAAGAATATTGAAAATACCTCCGACTGCCAAAACAACAAACACATTTGTCTTAGAAGACATAAGCAGAATGCTCCTTAGAAGCAAGAATGGTGAGACTTCATGTCATATGTCAGGAGAGATTAGTCTTAGGAGAATTGTTGGTCAAGTAGAAGAACAGATAATGAGGAAGAATTTCAATGGGATATATTGAACTTCTGCAATGGTGGTTGCAACAATAACTCAAACAACAATTTTTAGGATGGGCAATGTTTCCTTCTGCTTTACATACAACTCCTTGAAGGCACCTAACACAAACACCACCGTCACCAAACCAGGGCTTTCCCAGTTGTCACATTCTCATTTTCCTTTCTCCATTGGCTCATAGCATCCCAGAGAGTGCCCAATTATGGGATCCCATGGAGGCCTCAGCCCTTAGTCTGAATTTTCTGAAGGCTATCACAAGGCTTGTTTCCCAAGGCACCACTGGAGGGGTTCTACCTCCCAAACGTTCAGCTACTAGTAGAAAAAATTAACAGTTAGCCTTACTCAGGAACTCTATCCACCTAGATTATAATTGAAAAAATTTCCCCTGTGTTTCATCAGAACTCTGACACTGGGGACAACTGGTGGAGTCATTTCCTCACCATATAGGACACATGCCATTTACGGAAGAGCAGAATGTGTTTTTGTTGTTTTCCTGTTACAATACCACTGTCTAATGTGGAGATATCAGGAGTAGGTAAAGATTCATAAAAATTGATTCCCAAGGGAATCTGTGGATGGGAAAGCACCAGACCACAAAAATAAAAACAACCTTGAAATCCCATCTGCATCTGTTTTGGAAATGAGACCTGTCTTCTGCAGGTAATGAGTGCCCTCTGCAGCCCAGTCATCTCCCGGCAGGAGAGGTTTGTGTCTGGGCTTATCCTGACATCCCCTCCCTGGGCCTGTTGCTCAGTAATACACCGTGACTTTCAGGCTGTCAACTTGAAGATAGAGTGTGTTTTGGACGTTGTCTCTGCAGATGGTGAATCGGCTCTCCCCTGAATCTATGTAGTAAATGTAAGTACTACCACTGCTAATGTGTAAACCTCTTCAGTCCTTTTCCTGGAGCCTGGCCCACACAAATTATACTTTAGCTCCTGAAGACGAATCCACAAGCTGCACAAGGGGTCTCAGAGAACCCCCAGGTTTCCTCAAGCCCCTGTCTGACTCGACCAGCTGCACATTACATTGGATACCTGAAACCACAGAGACAGGACACCCTGGTCAGGGAAACCATCACTTGTATGCACCGTGTCTCTCACTCATACTCAGAAATGTGTGCTCTCCATGTAATGACCTGTTAGAAGAGCTACAAGGAAAACCCAGCCCAGCATAGACTCGATGGTGAGTCTAGGTGTTCAGTCCTGATCACTGAGTGGGGACACCTGGGAATCCTGGGGCTGGCGCTTCGCTTTCACAGCTGTAGTCTAAGGACTAGGGTGGATCTCATTAACATATAAAGGGATGGATTTGCGTGTCTTTCCACCATTTATGTGGAGTTGCATGATTCTCAGATGGTCATCAGAGAGTGCATGGATTCAGTGAGGAAGGGCACAATTAAAGCATTCAGGACAACTGTTAGGTTTCTCGGGTGAGAAATGCCTCAGTCCTTGGCTTCCTGAGAGAAAGAATTCATGTCGAAGCCTGGTTTGTGATCCAAGTGAGATTTTTTTTTTACAAAGGACAAAAGAAGTTTCAGGTTTTACACAGGCACCCTCAGGGCACCTCACCCCCACGTGTGGAACCCTGAGGCAGAGAAAAGGCCAAGGAGCAGATAGAAAAGAGGGAGGTGGCTTCAGATTCTGCCTTTCTCAGGGCCCTCTCCTGGGAGGCGTGGTCCACGGTACCAGATAACCCCATTGGCTGAATTAAGGTCACCAGGCCTACATTGGGGCCCTCCCAAGTGTACTGGCTTCCTGTCTCCCAGGCCAGAATTGGTGCATTCCTTCTAGACTTGATGGGCTTCCTACTCTAATGGGGGGAAGGGAGGCCTTGGACTGTAGAGGGACTACCCGTGGTTTCTGCCTTTAGCTATGGAACATTTCCCCGCTGAAGAGGTATGGACCCAAATCAATGGAGTACTGGGCGAAGACATCTCTAGCTACTTCCTGCTGGCAAACGGGGCACAAAGTGGGACTTTGGGTCCACACCCCTCCTACTCTGTGGGAAGGTTGTCCACTCAGGGCCCATGCTGGGTGAAATTGGAGTCATCCTGGAGCTGGTGGTCCTGAAGATGGCACACATGGTTCAGAGACATTGGTAACCAGAGAACTTCTGGGAGAAACACAGAGGTGGACACTTTAATTGAGACAGGGGTAAGGTTGTGAGATGGCAGTGCCCTTGGAAGTGGGGGTTAGTGTCACAAGAAGTTTAGAAAGGTAATCTTAGGGGTGACAGGCATGGGTGCTAGTTCGCTTTAAACACAGGAATGGTGCAAAAGGCATTTACTGGCTTAAAGACTGTGATGGCTCTGAGGCAAGGTTTTCTGTGGAACACTTGTCTGTCCTGGGATGGCAGTGAAGCACCCCCAGTGGTTCTCAGGGGTGCTTGTGATCCACTTTTAAGGGGTCTGGGTGCAACCGGTTCCCAGGTTTCACCTTGCTGCAACATTGATTGTTCACCCAAGGTTCTAGACCCGCTACAGCTCTCCTGCTGCTTCGCTGGCCAAGCCGGGCCAATCTTCAATGAGCAGCTACTCACTGGGATGCAGGCCCCCTCCCACTTGGCTATCTGCCATAGGACAAGGGACACCCTGGTGGCCAGCTTGCTTGCCGGTTTGGCATGGCCCTTGGGCTTGCCTGCTCCAGCTAGGGCAGTTCCGTGCCCAGTGACCCCAATTCTGACCCACATGACTCTTGTCACTTTCTGGTCACTGGTCTAGGAAACCTGGGAGGAGGTTGTGGGGCAATTAGCAGGTTGCAATAGTCTCTGTGTCATTCTGACTGTGAAATGTTACATAAAACTGAAGACTCATTAGGATGAGTGACTTGCACATTCATCTGAGGGTGATAGTGGATTTGAGAACAAAAAGAGATTTGACAATGAGAATAAGAAAACCTCAGACATTGGTTTAACAGAAATATGCTATGAATATGACCTTACACTACAAAACAAGGGGACAATACAACTGGAAGGAAAAATAAGGTTCTTTTTTTAAAAGATAAATCTACCTTGCAAAGTATAAAGAGTAAAAAATAAAATTTTAAAGGAAAACCATTATCATGTTAATAAATATATTATAAATGTTATTATGAAAGGTGGTAGCTCTTACACTGTCCAACATCGCCCTTCACCCACTTTTCTGTTGTCCAACCTCCAGGGAGGGGGTTATATGTGGATCCTTGTGATCGGTTCCCCTTACAAAGTAATAATAACTTATCAGGGATTCGTGAGGGGGGTGGGGATGTAGGGGGAAAATGAGGAGCTGATACCAAAGGCTCAAGTAGAAACAAAGTACTTTGAGAATGATGATGGCAACAAATGTACAAATGTGCTTGACACAATGGATGTATGTATGGATTGTGATAAGAGTTGTACGAGCCCTCAGTAAAAAGGATAAATAAATAAATAAATAAATAGATAAGTAAATAAATAAAAGGTGGTATAGAAAAAGATGGCATAACCAAAACACAGTGTAAGAAATTTTATGGACAAGAGAATAAGAAGGGGAAAATAGAACTAATCCTGACAATAATATTAAATATGATTAAACAAAATACAGTATATGCAGAAAACAAATGAATGGCGATAAGGAACCAAAATAGGACACACACGAGAAACTCAATTACCATAACCCAATGGCACCAGTGAATTCCATCTCACAGTGAGTGGCCCTCTAGGACAGAGTAGAACTGCTCCTTGGGGTTTCAGACACTGCAAATCTTTGGGGGAGCAAACAGCCTCATCTTTCTCCCTTGGAGTAATGGTGGTTTCAAACTCCTGACCTTCCACTTAGTATCCCAATGTAAAATCCACCATGGCATCAGCGACAGTGAATTTGTATATAGTGTATATATAGTCTTTATTATTTATTTATTTATTTATTTATTGCACTTTGTTTTCCTACTTGTTTGATAGCCATATAAATTTACCTTAATTTTGAATAATATACTTATTGAATTTAAATTGTTAAATAATTTTAACAGTTTTTGAATTTTTTAAAATGGTGTAATATATTATTATTTTAGGTAATTGCATTTGGCTGAACAAAATTAATTTCAATTTTTTGCACCTCACGCCATCAGACATGTTATTAGTTGCCTTTGATTCAGTTATTACTCATAATGATGCAATAGATAAAAGAACAGAAAGAAAAACTACCAGGTCCTGAACCATACTCACTCTTGCTCCTGTTTCAGACCTTTTATGCTGCCACTCTGTCTGTGCATCTAATTGAGCATATTTCTCTTCTTTGCTAACACTACCAAATGGGACGTATTTCTCCCGAAATTGGGCCCCTGATAACATGATGGAAATATGTGAAGAGATTGACCATTTTCTATTCCACAGAGAACTATGAGATACTGATTCTTCGATGTGTCTCTGGAGATAGACAGTCGGCTTTGGAAGGACGGGTTATAACTTGTACCACCACTATAGCATATCACTCCCATCCACTGCAGTCCTGCCCTTTGGGTGAATTTGCTTCTTTTAGAATCAAAGCTGTCCTTCCAATGAGCATTTCCTTCATTGTGACCCCAATGATTGATTTCAGAATTGAGTCCTCCCAACCACACCGGTCACTCCAGTTAACCTGTTCCCAGTGTCAGGGCTCTTTCTATCCCCAGAACCCTTCTTTCTGCATGAAGAGAGACTATGCGAGGCAAGCATCACTAAAGACATATCACAAGGTTAGCCCCTGAAGTCTCCATAATTATTTTCTCAGACACAGAAAATATTAGTCAGTCACTACCCAAAATGCACTAGGAGGAATGCAGAGAGACACCTGATAGACCTGACCCTGGGTTGTAATAGATGAGTGACCGCAGGACAATTAAAATGATGCACTGGACTCATTAATCTGTACATGCTTGCATTTCATTGTCAACGGATTTTGAGTGACAGTTAGCATGAGAATGCCCATGAAAATTAGTTTCTTGTGAAGGAACATGGGTCATATAGGATGATAATGAAGGGTCAGAGTCACTTTTAATATTTGTATTGCAATCGGAGAATGCTAGTTTCTCCTTTAAAGCTTGCAGTGAGAAGAAAATTTAGAGAAAATAAACAAATACAAGGAAAAACTGCCCCTGGGGAGGCTGAGAGCTATGAGAGGAAGCCCTAATACTAATAGGAAAGCCTCGCTGTCATCCATCTGTGCCTGTCTAGGGCTGAGTGTTTGTACTTAGTGGGTCCGGCGCGCCCCCTGCTGCCCAATGTCTCCCCTGCAGGGGAGGTTTGTGTCTTGGCTCACACTGACTTCCCCTCACTGTGCTCCTTGCACAGTAATACACGGCTGAGTCCTCGGCAGTCACGGAGCTCAGCTGCAGGGAGAACTGATTCTTCGATGTGTCTCTGGAGATAGAGAGTCGGCTTTGGAAGGACGGGTTATAACTTGTACCACCACGATAGCATATCACTCCCATCCACTGCAGCCCCTTCCCTGAGGGTTGGCGGATCCAGCTCCAACAGTAACCACTGCTTGTAATGGAGGAACCAGAGACAGTGCAGGTGAGGGACAGCTTCTGGGAAGGCTTCACCAGCCCTGGACCCGACTCCTGAAGTTGCACCTGGGACAGGATGCCTGCAAACAAAAACAGAGGGTCCTGTTACTTGCTTGAAGTCACATCCATACCCATAGACCCAGGTCGGATATCTGAATCTCTCACCTTGGGGAATTGTCACCAGGCACAGGAGAACACACAGGAATAACATCTTTAGACCACAGCTGTGTCTGAAAAAAACTGATAGCTCTCCAAGCCCAGGGCTTAGTTTGTACCCTGGTGCCTGAATGATAATTTGCATTTCAAGGAGCCCTTTCCTTATAAGCAGAAGGTGATAAAGATCAGACTCCCCTCTTCCTTCTGAGCCCAATTTGAGGTAACCCTTTGTTTGAACTCATATGCATGTTAGTCAATAATGAAAGAAGGTTTTTCTCAAGAGGCATGTGGTAAAGGTCAAATAATTCCCAGAATTTCTGAGCCCACTGTTCTCCCTCCAGCCTCTCATTGCCCCTGCCCTGCCTTGGGCTTCTATATGTCCTGGGCTCCAGAGAGTGGGCAAAATATAGGTTGTTGAAACCATCAATTGGACCCTAAATCATCTTTAGCCCTCACACTCTCCAAGAGTCTTTTTTTCCTGGAAACCCTAGCACCTCTTAATTAACCTACTCATAGTCCTTAGTAGTTTTCCTTGTGTGGGAATAACCTCTTCCAGAAGCATGAATACCAGATTAGTCCCAAAGAGTTGGGGTTGATAATGACCCAAAGGTCCAACTCTATCATGAAGCCATTCAGTTCTAATTTCAACCTACCCCACACTTGAGGATATCCCCTCATGTATCTGGTTTCCAAGAATCACTGCACCGTCCAACAGAAATTCATGAAAGTTAGAGGAAATGAATCACGTGGTGTTGGGGTCTGGTCAGTCCAAATTCGGAAGATCAGGGAAGGGTAAACCAGACACTGGGTAGAAAGGACATGCTCCACTCCCAGCTTTACATTTTATTTATGCACATATGACCTGAAACCTCTGGCACAATGTTTCCAGTAGGCATTGCCCCCTTCTAAGCTTATTCAGCCAGGATTTTTCCAGCCTTGGGTCATGGTCATCACCACTCCACTGCTCTTACAAGCAATAGACACACTACATCCCAGAGCCTGATGACTGAGGTCAACCTCAGTGTAAACAAAGATATTCAAGTGTCATGGGGTCTCAGGGAAGAACATGCCACCTAGAAAAGTTGGGCTTCAGACAAGATAATGTTTTAACTCTGTAGCCTCTAAAAAATGCAAGATTCTGAATACACACACACACACACACACACACACACACACACACACACACCTTTGTTTGTTGGAATATCCAAAATGATGCAAAATTCGTCAAGTCCTGATTTCAAGTGTAAAGATTCAGTAGAGAAGTAGATGGAAAATAATCATTTGAGAAAATAATCAGAGTGAGAAGAAAAGCCAAGAACTGTGTTTTAGATCTTGAGCCAAAAGAAATTTTCTTGAGGCCAACAGGCCTTTCCATTAAAATTAGGTCCATCCATGCAACTGATCCTCAACATTTAGAGAATGAGCGCAGACACTCTTTTAAATGTCCCTTACCCAGGGGGCTCTGGTTCAATTGAAAAGTGAGCATTTCCAACCAAGGACAGCTTCTCCATTTGTGCTCTGGCCCCACCCCATCACAACTGCTCACGGATCTCACCTTAAATGTATTCCCTAATCTCAAGGATTGTGTAATTTAAATAAAAATGTTTATATTATTGACCATAGAAGCTGTGACACGATCTGTAACATGGAATTTTAAAGCTAAATCCCAATTTATTTCATTCCTCCTAACAAAGTTTAAAACTTTTCCCCCGGACTTGGTGTTGACACCATTCATTTACTGATTAATTAGAATCTCTGTGTATCTCCAAATTAATATATCATTTTACAATGGGGAAATCCAAGCACAAGGTGTTGGTCACCTGGAATTCTTTGGGCCAGAATTTGCTTAAGGGAATAAGCAATTGTTTGAAATGAAGACACTTTGCTGGGATGCCAGCCCCAATCCCAACTACTAAGTGGACACCTGCCTCTCCCCATAGAAAAATTTATTTCAAAGGACGGCATTGAATCTGCAGCTCCGAGAGAGGGACATATCTGATCAGAGCACACTGGAGCAGAAGAAAGGGGAGGAGGAGAGAGTGGAGCACATCCAGGCCCACCAGGCTGTGAGGACAATGTTCCCAGTTAGTGCAGCCAGTCGACAGAGAGGACCACATGGCTGGCCCCACTATGAGACATGGTGCCCCTCACTGACCCAATGCCCTATAGGGGACAACACCAGAGACACAGTGTGGTACTTGCACCCCATCTGATCCCATTTCACTGAGGCAAAACACTAAGGGTGTGCAACAGAACAGCAATGGAATGAAGCGGTGAATTCCCCAGTGAATGCTGAAGGTGGACTTTGGGGCCACGGTGTGGTGCCCCAACGGACTGGACTGGAAAACACTCCTAAAGACCAACAAACTATCCTGGAACTAAATACAAGCTTTTCTTTCTTATTGGGTTTTGTTGTGTTTTTTTATTGATTTGTTATTGTTGTTTTGTTGTATATTGTTTCTTGGTTTTGCTCTGTCTTGTTTTTGTGCTTGTTATTATCTCTGCAGGTCTATCTAGGCTGGATGAACAATCTGGAGGAGAAAGCAACGGGACCGACAGTTCTGGGGAGACATGGGAAAAGGGGAGGTGGGGGGAAAGGTAGTGGTGTTAACAAACCCAGGGAAAGGGGAACAACAAGTGACCCAAATCAGTGGTAACGAGGGTATGGCAGGCCTGATAGGGCATGATCAAGGGTAATGTAACAAAGAGAAATTGCTGAAACCCTGGTGGGGACTGAGCATGATAGTGGGACAGGAAGAAAGTCAAAGGAAAGACAGAGGAAAGAGCTGGGAGGCAAAGGACATTTATAGAGGTCTAGATAAATGCATGTACTGTACATATGTAAATATATTTATATATAAGGATGGAAAAATAGATCTATGTGCATATATTTAGAGGTTTAGTATTAAC